CTGAGGAATGGGGCCTGACCTGCCCTGTCCCTTCCAGAGGTGCAGTCCCTCCCCCTGTGCTTCATAAAATAGTCCCTCCTCCAAACCCACTGAAACTGGATCAGTTTACTTCATCTTTTCCTTTGGAAAATTTGGAGGCCACCCTCCAGCCCCATTCTGCTCCTCTTTCCCTTTGGCTTTTTACTTTAAGGTCCAGAGCTCTATGCTTTCACCCATTAATTGGCTGGGGTGAGACCTGCCCGTCCCAAGAATGCCTCACCCAAAGCAATGGCTATGGGTGTGGCGCACTCCCCGGGTTTCGGCATATGGGGATGTAATTGACAGGGAGGGGCCAGTGGTGACCTCCCACTGAACAACATGCATACCACCATCCTAGGAAGCCTGTCCTGGAGAGGCAGGCCCTTTTGGCCCATCCTCATGGGGTGAAGTGAGGGACAGAAAAGGACGGATGCCGATTATGGGTCAGGACTTGGAGAAGCCGAGTTGACTGATTTAAATAAATAATCTTCTCATTGAAATAAATAAATAAAAATAAAATATTGAGTATGTTCAAATATGAGCAGCTATAAACTTAATATAGAGCAATATACACACAAGACCTTATATCTTATTTGTGAAAACTCAGTAATTACAAAGCAGAAACATAGTAAAAGCATAAGAAGATTAAAAAAAAGCACATAAACACACCACTAAAGAAAAACATCAACTCTCAAAGGAAGAGGGGAGTGATGGGAGTGGTGATAATATGCAGGGGCTGAGATAAAAAAATGTACCTCTGAAACCTATATAATGCTTTGAAATAATGTTATCTCAATTTAAAAAAAATGAAATGATCCAGCTTTGTCACTTGTATCTATCCAAGTATACTTATCCAAAGAATAGGAAAGCATACTTAAAGCAACACATGCACACCTTTATTCACTGCAGCATTATTCACATTATCCAAGTGCTGGAAACAACCTACATGCCCATCAACAGATAAAAGCATTAAAAAAGTGTAGTGATGGTATATGTATATACCATATACCATATTATAAAATGGAAAACTACACTCAGTTTTTTTTTTTTTTTAAAGATTTATTTATTTTTGCATACAGAACTGGGGTACAGGCCAGAGGCTTAGGGGCGGTGAGAGGCTTCACCAGAGACAGAGCGGGGAGCAGAACAGGCAGATCTAAGAAGTACACTGCTGAGGGGAGCAGCGGGCGGGTCAGGAGAGGTCTGCCGTGCCATGTGGTCACCTCCGGGGCAGGCGGGAATTGAACTCATGCGGAAGTGGCTTTAGATTTTCAGTGCTGTGCTTTAACCTGCTGTGCCACAAGGGAGGGCCAGTTTTTTGTTTTTTTTTTTAATGAAATACTTTCATCTGTAACAACATGAATGGAACTAGAGGGTATCATGTTTAGTGACAGAAGTTAGAGAAAGAAAAACATTACGATTTCATTCAGATGTGGTAGATAAAGAAACAAAATATATGAACTAAATAAGTAAAACAAAAATAAACTCTTAGGCCATAAGAACATAATAGCAGTTGCCAGAAGGAAAATGGGGAAAGAGATGAATAAACTGGGTAAATGAAATCTATTGTTCAATGATAGACAGAAGAGAAAATTATGGTGGTGAACAAAATGTAATATACACAGATGTTGATTTAGGAGACTATACACCTGAAACCTATGTTTTGAGCTAATATTGCTTCAATAATAAAAGCAAAATGCAGAGAAAAAGTAATGTCCAAACTACTCAAGTAATTTATGAATTCTTCAGTTACCATCAAAATTCCAATGTAACTCTCAAAGAAAAACAAACCCAAAATTTATAGAGAACTACAAACGACCCCAAATAGCCAAAATACTCATGAGAAAGATGAATAAAGCCAGAAGATTTATACTACCTCCTTTCAAACTATTCTACAAAGCTACAGTAACTAAAGTTTGGTATTGGCATACAGAATAAAGAGCCCAGAAATAAATCCTTGTGTTTATAGTCAACTGATATTTGACAAGAAGGCTAAGAATACTTATTAGGGAAACAAATGGTATTGAAAAGAAAGGATAATCACATGCAAGAAAATAATATTAGACTCCTTGCCTTACACCACTCACAAACGAAATTCAAAATGGATTTAAAAGGCATGAAGAGAAGACCTAATACTGTGAAATTCCTAAAAGAAAACATCAGAAAGAAAGAAGTTCTTTGCTATTGGTCTTGACAATGATTTTTCTGAATATGCCATCAAAAGCAAAATAAATAAAAGCAAAGTTCAACAAGTGGATCTGTAAAAGTTGTAAAGTTTCTGCACACACAGAGAAAAAAAAACATGAACATAATGAATAAAAAAGCAACCTATGGGTTAGGAGAAAACATTTGTAAACCATAATATCCAAAATATGTAAAGAATTCATACAACTCAATAAAACCAAAAACAAATTTTAATTAAAAAGCTGCCAAAGGGGGTGGGGAGGCCTTTCCCTGGTGGCACAGCAGGTTAAAGCACCACATTATGAAGCTCTCCAAAGCCACTCAGCATGAGTTCAGTACCCAGCCAGAGAGCTGACCCACATGGTGTGGCAGACCTCTTCTGACACGCCCACTTCTACACTCAGCAGTGTACTTTGTCAATCTGCCTATTCTGTTCCCTACTCTGTCCCTGGTGAAGCCTCTTACCCACCATACCTCTAGCCTATACCCCAGTTCTGTAAGCATAAATAAATAAATAATTAAAAAAAAAAGCAGCAGCCAAAAGATTTTTTCCAAAGAAGATATCATAATGGTCATCATATGAAGACGGTCAACATTACTAATCATCAGGAAAATGAAAATCAAAACCACAATGAGTATCATTACCGCATACTATTAGAATGACTATCATCAAGAAAAGTGCTAGTAAAAATGTTGTAAAAAGGAAGGAAATCATGTGTACTATTGATAGGAATACAAACTGGTTCAGGTATGAGAGAAAAATAAAACAGAACTACCATGAAACTCAGAAATTCCACTCTTGGGTATATACCCAAAGGAAATGAAAACAGGGTATCAAACAGATATAGGCCTCTCGCGTTCACTTGAGCAATAGCCAAGACATGGAAACTAATGTCCATCAATGGATGAATGGATACAGAATGTGGCTTATATAAACAACAGAATATTATTCAGTTATGAGAAAGAAGAAAAAAGCATGTTATTTGCAACAACACAGTTTGGTTGTGTGAATATTGCATTAAGAGTGACTTAAGTTAAAGAAAGACATACACTGTTATGATCTCACTTACATGTGAAATCCAAAAATGATAAACCCATTAAAAAAAAAAAAAGCCAGAGAATAGAATGATAGTTACCAGGGACTGGTAACTGAGGAAACTGAGATGTCATTTTAGGGTACAAACAGTTCCAGTAAATGAGTGCACAGCACAGAATTACAGACAATGCTATATAATAAACTGCAAAGTTGTTAAGAAAGTAGGTTATCAATTGTAACACAAAAAGGAAGTCATAATTATATATCAGATAGGAAGATTAGCTAATGCTACCCTGGTAATCATACTGCAATATATAAATGTATCAAATCAACACTCTGTATAAATTAAGCATACACAATGTTAGATGTAAATTATATCTAAATAGAAATACTTGTCAATTTTCAGCTAGAAATCTATTTCTAAATTAATAACTTTCATGGGGGAAAGGCATTTACAAAACCTAAATTCTGGTAGACCAAAATGTCATTTCTATTTTTCAGTATTTACTCTGGTAATTTTATGATAACAAACCTTTGACTCTTAAAACATTGCCTTAGCAGAGGTAATAGTTCCCTTAATTCAAAACACCAGAAGGTGACTAGTTGGAGTGAAGCACTGCATTGTTGTAAACCATAGAAAAGAATCATCATCTAGTGTTTTTATAATGAGAATCATAAAATTATCTGTAATTCAATGGAAAAATCCCTGAAGGAATACATTAGCCACTTTCACAGTTCTTTTAATGCTTTCAAGAAACATCAAGAGATCAACAAGTTAAACACATGCGCCACTGACCAAAGGGAACTTTTTTTCTCTGATGCAACACTATGGCCTCAATACCACTTCACGATCAAGGGACTGAAACCCAGAAAGACCTAAGCTCAAATCCTGGTCTGGCTACTAAAGTACAGGTCAGGGTCAGTTTCCTCGCTTGCGAAATTAATGGAGTTAATTCAATGTTGGCTGAATGCCTATTATGTGTCAGCAGTGGAAGATTGTTGTTTATTATGAGTAAATAAAACCATGGTCAGTGTCCTTGCAAAGCTCCTAATCTTGTGGAGAAACAAAGAAATACGACATGATCACTGCTATCAACAAACTCCTATGGCTGGGAAAAGTGAAAAAGGCTACAGAAGAAAGACTTAAAACTTGAAGAATATATATGAGTTGTTTAGTGAGATGGAAATAATTGGTATTCCATGAAGAAAGAACAGCCTGTGCAAACTTGGGAGAGGGGGACTCGGAGGGTAGGGGAACACAAAGTTTAATGCAATGATATGTCAGCTAGGCATCAAGGAGACAAATTTAGAGTCTTACATGCCACATTAGAGAATTTGACCTTTAGTCTTTAAGTAACAGCTAGCAATGTAAATACTCCCCATAATGTTCCTTCTACACTGAGACTCTAGAAACCAGCTGTTGGCCCTATCAAATGAATACAATTTGTCTATCATCATTTGAAGTTGTTAATCTTTTAAAGCAAAGAAGCTATGTAAGTTTTGATGCTGATAAATTGAAAAGGGCTCAGTTGAATTTTAGAACTCACAGACTTCTATTATATGGCAGATTACTATTGTTGTTAGAGCATGAAAATATTCTACAGACAAGACATATCACAAGTGATACACAAATATACTTGTGATATATTTTATTTATCAACTATAAACTCTATAAACCTATAGGTGTGAAAATCAGAAACAGATACTAAATGTACATGCCCCACTACAGAAGTACTGAAAGAGAATATAAAATACCATTTACCTGTGTTCTGCAGGCACCGGGGGTGGCCAAACAGCAGGATCCCTAAATGGTTCATCTTGACAGGACACAGGGAAATCTGGAGGTTTGTCGATTTTAAAACTTTCTAAAGTGCTGACAATACTTTTAACTTGTTCATATTCTTCCAATAATTCCTGACGAACCTTAATAAAAAAAGAACTTTTATGTTATTATTCATGGAAATAGTAAGTTGTGACAGAATATGTTTTTAAATATTGTTCAAAATGTGCAAATGACAAGAAAATATTAAAAAAAATCGAAGAACTATTTAAAGAAACAGATTGGAAAACAAGAACTGGCTTGAAAAAAAGCATGTGTACTTTCACTAGGGCAAGTACTTCTATATCTTTCATAATGAAACCTATTTCTACCAAGGAATGTGAATATCATTAATATCACTTAAGGCAAGCAACTAAGTTAGTAATAATTGAACCATTCCCAGATATCTGTATTATGTTAAATTATTTAAATATATTTGTAAGTAGTATCCCCAAAATTGCCAAAATTTCCACCAGCATTTCTATACCCAGTGTCATTAAATATGAAATGCCTGTCATTATCACCTGAACTAGAAATTATTCATTATCCAATTAAGGTTCATCAGGAATTGTTGTTTAAATACTTTCAAGCCTTGGATAATGCTCATTTTGAGCTAAAAGGCAAGATTTTTCCATCATTTAAAAAACTTTAGGGACCTCCCTGGTGTCCTCGGAGTTAAGTCTTAGAGCTATCACCACCTCGGCCTGAGTTCACCCTGGCCAGTGAGCAAACCCACATATGGCATAGCAGACCTCTCCTGTACTACCTGCTGCTCTCATTAGCAGTGTATTTCAGTAAATCTGCCAGTTCTGCTCCCATTCTGGTGAATTCTCTCAACCCTACACTTCTGGACTCTACCCCTGCCAGTTCACAGATAGATAGATGAGATGAGAAAGATAAGATAGAAAGAAAGAAAGATAGATAGATATTATTTAGACAGATAGAGTAGATAGATTAGATAGATAAATCTTTTTTAAAAACTTCACTACCTACTCCAGAAATTCTTTTTTATTCAAACTTTAACTCAAACCAATTTTCAAAGGTAATGAACAAAACTTACATTAGTAAATTCATTGTACCAATTCTAATTTTTAAAAACCACACAACATACTTTAAAGCAGAGCATAAGAAATTTTCCCTTAACTTTATCTTGAACAATATGTAGAAAGGAACACATAAAGAACTTGCAGAAATAAAGATAAATCTAAGTAAAATTTAACTGCTAATATATACAATTATATTGAAGGAGAAATGAAATTTCAGAGCCTAAAGAAAAGAAAAACAGGAGAAAGATCTGAATGGAAATGGTCACTGATTTAACACAATTAAGAACATGTCAAAAATATTTCCATGCTAGATTAGTATCCCACTCTTGCCTGTGGCTAGTAAGCAAGATAGAAAACAAGTAAACATTTCAAGCATATTGTTCTCACTCAACATAATTTGGTAAAACTTAAGTCAGAAAATAAGCCAAATTTACCCTGAAAATTTAGGTTAATCAATTTTTGACTAGTGGAAAAATTAGAAAAAACACTTAAAAGGCATTAGCACATAAAAATGGAAACTTCAAAGAAATGGTTGACTTTGTACTTTTAATTTTAAAAGGATTTTAAGTTTTAAGAGTAAGTGGGGAAATTTTAATTCAAGATTTTATTAACTGTATTATTATATAATCAAGTTGTATAGTCAAGAGACAGAGCAAATATATTAGTGTTTTTTAAATTAGATTACTAATTCCTTTGTATTTATTTGTAAGGAGTCTTTCAAAACAGAGGAAACTTTCTTAAAGGAAAAGTTTTATGAAATGGATCAAAACTACATATAAAAATGAAAGGGGAAAGGGCAAACAGAAATACCTTATTTGTTATTACACACAACTAGGCAACTGATCATGAAAAAATATTAAAAGTAAATTCAATTATAATTAATCTTACCCAATATTATCTTGTGAAATATTTCATCTAAAATATTAACCAGGTAAGACAGAAAATTACAGTACATTTTAAGTGTATCTCAGTATTCAAACAAATTAAAAACTATTTACAAAAATCAAACTAATTTTCCAACTCTAATCTTTCAATTACAATAGACTACACTACACTCACTCACTGAATATTTAAATGTGATCTCACCTGTTGCCATTTGCCTTTGACAGCTGGGTCTCTGACCGACTGACAATGTCTCTGAATCTGCTGTATTACTCCCTGATAATATACCATCGATGAATCATAGTTTCCAAGAAGTGCATATTCTCTTCCTTTCTTTGCATTGTCACAAATCTCAGCCAAATTCATCTTCTTTCAGAGACCTAAACATAAAATATATGCCTTTTTTAAAAGTTTTTGGCAATGACTTTAAACATTTTTTATTATTCTTTAAAATACCTGCTAAAAACTACTGAAAGTCAAAAAGTTTCTCTTATTCTTTGAGGTTACCTGAATGCATTGTATAATATAGAACAAAATTTCTAACTGTGGAAGTACAAATGATATCACAAAATACAATGGAGATAATAAAAAGGAGAGAAAATTACATAACTCTGAACTACTGGCACATAAACTGGACACTGGTTTTCCTGGCTCATTTATAATGAACACAAACTGAAATAGTAGTAAAGAACAATTTGTTTTATTTTACTCAGTTTATTCTTGATAGTGTAGGAATGAATATAACATCATATCATATTTTCTACTGATGCCAAATAAGACTGCAGAAATTAATATTCACTAAAACTTTTTGGCCCCAAGAACAAAAATCATACTTAGGATCACATTTTGAAGAAATGGCCTACAGTTGTCCATACATCATTTATATGCAATAAATTGTCCCATACAACTTAAATGTAAGCAATAACATGAGCCCTTTTGTAGCCTTCTGTGATCCTGTATTCTCTATAGTTTCCTGTCTGTGCAAATAATTATCACTAAGTTTCCATTCTACAAAATGTTAGGAAGATATCAAATAAATCTCCGCTTTCCACCAAAGCGCTCTGACTCAGTAATTCTGGGTTGTTTTTTTTTTTTTTTCCAGACTTTGCAAAAGTCTCCCAGAATTATCTAAAGCTTTCCCCTAGAAAAGAGACTTTCCCCTAGAAATTACAGAGCAGTAAGTCCAGAGATACAGAAGAATGACATCCTAGGAAAGAGTCCAAATTTTCCTACTCTAATTTCCTGGAACAGTAAATCAATGGATAAATGCAATAGAGAAAATCAAAATATTTGCCCATGCCTTCCTGAAGGAATTAAATTTGGGGGTGTAATTTGGTTCTTCCTCTCTGCCTCTTATCTTATTAAATAACAGCATTAACATATAAACATTTGCAGTTGATTTGGGAATGTCTAATCCTTTTCCAAAATTAAGTGCATCTAGTTCTAGGCATTTCAACCGCCTTTAGTACTACATTCATGAAGATAATACTGTTTTCCTTTGTGTGTTTTGCCATTATTATTTGCTCCTTCCAGCATAGGTTCTCTGAAGACAGTGTATATATACTACTTGAGTATCACACCACAGGCTATTAATGTAAGTTCTTAAATAATGAGTCAAATATTTCCACAAATTCAATTATGAATAGAGCAATATTTTATATTACAGTAATAGTTGAGTATAATGTTTTATAAAATAGTTCTGCTAATAAAAATGGAACTCTATTTGGGTGATAATTAGTTGGGATTCAATATTAGCATTCTAAATCAACTGCAAATGTTTATATGTTAGTGCTATTCTTTAATAAAATTCTACACATTTCATCTTTAAAAATGTCTTCTTACCCAGATAGACACTATCACATAGTCATATCAAATCATAGTGAAAATAAATCTCAAGCATATGATTTCAATTCAGTAAATTCACTATTTGGAAGGCATCTGAAAAATATACTCTTCTCTTGATATTTCAGCATGTCACTGCACTGTAGATTAATCATTTCAAATTGAAGGCTTGGTGGAAATGCCTCAGTTGTACAGTTAAACAGATTTCTTAATACAAGTATTTCTTCTGCACTTGCATCAAGTCTAAAAAATGCCTCTGAGCTCAGAAAATATATGTCTGCAAATATGGATGGAAATGGAGATATTACATCTTTATTCTGACAGCACTGAAAGTTACATAAGCAAATTGACATTCAAACATTAGTTTTTAATAGCATCTTGTAGTTCTCATTGTAGTCTTTCACCTCTGTAGCTAATTCCAGTGTTTAATTTTTTGGAAGCAATCATAAATGGAGTTATCTTCTTAATTTATTTTGCTTCTTGTTTGTATTTTTAAAAAGCTGTGATTTTTGTTTATATTTGGTTTATACTGAAACCTGACACTTTGATATTATTTGGTATATATTGAAACCTGCCATTTTGGTGTTATGTATCTACTGTGTTAAACAATTTTTCAGTCTTTAGGGTTTTCTGTATATAGTATCACATTTTTTGCAAACAGCACATATTAAAAAAACATCCAATCACAAGTGCTAGATGTAGACACAGAGAAAGAAGAACCCCATTACACTGTTGGTGGGAATTTAAACTGCTACAATCATGAAAAGCAACACGTATTTGTTAGAGGTAAAGGATGTCCTGAACTAAATCTACAAATACAGGTTTTGTGGACTCCACCCCTTATTCCAGTCACTGAAACTACAACTCCCAGGCAACACCAATGGAAGGATTGTGAGGACCCAAGAGCAGAAGCTAAACAGCCATTTTGAGACTTTTGGGATATAAAGGAACTATGTTGAGTGAAGGCTCACTTTCTCCCTTGGCCTCCTGGCTGTCAGCTGGTCGCTTGGCTCTAGAACAGCTTTCAGTGTGCTATTGGGGTTCCAGGTCAGTGGAAGTGGTAAGATGGTCTAGTTACCTTGTATCTCTTCCTCTCTTTCCCTGGGTTGCTCCTTTTCCTTTCCCCTTGTAAATAAACCCACTATTGACCCTTTTTGTGTGTGTCTGCAGTACAATTGAATCTTAAGTAATGGGTTGCCCTGTAACAGATTTACCTTTAAAAAGCTTTATAGGCCCTTCCTGGTGGCACAACCCGTTAGGACGCAGCACTACAAGCTAGCCGCAGCCACCTCAGTGCAAGTTCGACCCCAGGCCTGGAGGTGACCCACATAGCACAGCAGACCTCTCCTAACCCACCTGCTGCTCTCCTCAGCAGTGTACTTCGTAGATCTGCCTGCTCTGCTCCCTACCCTGTCTCTGGTGAATCCTCTCACTGGAGAGGATTCTGCACCTCTGGCTTGTACCCCAGTTCTATATGCATAAATAAATAAATCTTAAAAACAAAAAACAAAAAAACAAACCTTTACAAATGGGAATGCTAGCAATCCCACCTCTAGACATCTACCCAAAGCATATGAAGCCATCAAAGTAAAAACCTGTATGTTCTACAATGTTCCTGGAAGTTTCACTGACAACAGCTAGCAGATGAAAGCAGCCTAAATGCCCCTGGACAGACAACTGGGTCAAGAAAGATGTGGGATATACACTGTGGAAGATTAATGGTCATAAGAAAAGATGAAATGCAGCCATATTCAATAAAATGAAGGGAAATTGAGAGAATTATGTGTAGTAAAGTCAGAACAACAAAAATAAATAATGTAAATTTACATTGCACACTAAGTGAAATATTTACAAAAATTAGTGAAATCATCAATAAACAAACGAGGGCTCTGAGGTGAAAAGGGAAGAAGAGAGAAAGGAACACAGGGACATTAGGGGTGCAGGGAAAAAAAAACCAATCAGTTGTTTTGTTCAAAATAACTTAATCTATTAGCATTTGCCTTATAACTTGAAGTTGAATTCATTAAGAAATAAGTTGCGGCCCTCCCTGGTGGCACAGCGGGTTAAAGCACAGCACTGAGAATCTAAAGCCACTTCCGCATGAGTTGAATTCCCGCCTGCCCCAGAAGTGACCACATGGCGCGGCAGACCTCTCCTGACCTGCCCACTGCTCCCCTCAGCAGTGTACTTAGTCGATCTGCCTGTTCTGCTCCCCAATCTGTCTCTGGTGAAGCCTCTCGCTGCCCCTGAGTCTCTGGCCTGTACCCCAGTTCTGTATGAACAAATAAATCTTTTTTTTAAAAAAAAAAAAAAAAGAAAGAAGTTGCTGCAAGAAAATGATTCAGTGTTAAAAAGTGATTGAGGCCCTCCCTGGTGGCGCGGCGGGTTAAAGCACTGTACTAAGAAGCTAAAGCTGCTTCTGCATGAGTTCGATCTCCGCCTGCCCCGGAGATGACCACATGGCGCAGCAGACCTCTCCTGGCCCGCCCACTGCTCCCCTCAGCAGTGTACTTCATCAGTCTGCCTGTTCTGCTCCCTGCCCTGTCTCTGGTGAAGCCTCTCACTGCCCCTGAGCCTCTGGCCTGTACCCCAATTCTGTATGCACAAATAAATAAATCTTTTAAAAAAAAAAGTGATTGAAAGCAGTTCCTCTCATTCAGAAAAGTTTCAATCAGCACTAAGCTCAGATGATTGTAAGGTAACTCCTATGAAACCAATGAAATGCTCTATGGCAGGGCACTACAGAATGTTGTTTCTATTTCCAACAAGAATTCATGGAACTGACAATGATTAAGCACATGCACAAGAACAAATATTGACACTATTAGTTGCATACCAGAGGATAAGTTAAAATATTCTCTGCAAAATAATACTTTTTCATTAATGCACCTGCTGATAAAATAATGAATAACCTCACACACCTTACATTCTCAGTTTTGTAAATTTGCCCACCTAAATTTTTACCACCAGAGGTTGTAACATGTGTTAGCAGACTCCATTTCAAGTTATACAAAATTATTTTCTCAATTTTTTGGTGAATATTCTTGTTTGTAGTTGTTTCATGAATACCATTAAAACTAATTCAGGACTTCAAACTCAGCATTGATTTCTCTAACAATTGAGCTGTATTAGTAATATCCGTCAATTCATCAAGAGCCAAGGAAAGCCACTCAAAATCATTTGCCTTATTTTTTAATTGATTATTGATGTCCTCAACTCTTCCAGCAACTGTTCTTAAAAAAGATATTAGTCTTAAACAAGTTTGTTTACTCCAGACACATCTCTTTGGTTGTTTCAACTAAACACTAGTTAGTAATTCACTGAAAAGTTAGTTAATGACATCCCTGCTTGCCTAACAAATAAGATACTCAGAAACTTAATCTGGTTGCAGTCTGATTTTCATTTTTTGATGTTGTGAAGAAATTCTGCTGTGATAAAAATATTCCTTTTTAAGTTTTTTATTTTTTTCCTGACCATTGCTTTCCTATGCATTGGGAATATTGTGATGAATGATTAGCCTGCTAATGTCAATTATGTT